GTTGCTGGCTATTTAAAGGGGTATTGAGGGGGTACAATGGTCCTTTCACAGACTTATGAGGAGAAAATGGAAGAAATGGTCGCATGGCAGGCGCGTGCGCAACACTTCTGTCAACTTAAACGATTTCGGGTATTTCGCGCATGCAAATGTACAATACAAGGGGGTTTTATGCAATTTTTAAAATATAGGGGGAAAGCGCGCAGATTTCGTATAATACAGGGGGTACTGTATATTTTACCCTAATTAAAATAGAACCTAAATTTAGACCCAAATAGAGATGGTAATTAAACTAATCAAAAAAACATTTCGTGAAATAATTCCAAATAAAACATAATTCTTTTTTAAAAATAAAATAATTTAAATGTTGCGTACCTCTAAAGTTCAATAGGAACTCTGCATCTTTGCAAGTTCTCAGTCTCTGTATAGTATATTACTTAACCGGTTACGCTATGAAGCTAACAGTTGACTTCATAGTGGAGTCAACTTTCTATATACAACAAGTAAACCATATCATGTTAATAAAATTATAATTTTTATTTTAAGTAATCAGAGAATATGGTATGATTTACTTGTTGTATATAGAAGGTCGACTCCATTATAGAGCCAACTGTTGACTTCATAACAAAACTGATTACGTAAGTACAATGGCTTTATAAAAGAAAGGTAATATATAGAAAAACTTCAATAAAAATTCTAACACATAATCATAAACACTAATTATTATATAGTATGCATGAGTGTTGTCTATGCATGATTATATAACTATTTTCACATTTGATGAAGTTGGTGGGTGGCTCATGATAAGCTCTTATTTAATTTGGTACTTAACTTCCAGCACTAAATGGCAATGGAATATAAAAACAAATAAGTCGTGAGATAAGTCTATCTTGGGTAAAACTACCTAATAAATTAGTTGGTAACTGATAAACTAGCTTATAGTTTATTAGTAATTTTCGAGCTTATAATTTATAGCTTATGACTTGTAATAGCTGAAAAGCTACCTTATATGATAAAAGTGTTTGGTAAAATCAGATGATAAGCTAACTGAAATAAAATTTTCAACGAGCTTATTTGAAAATGTACCCAAAGAAGTTTATCAATTAAGCTCGAATTTTTTTAAAAAAAGCTCGTTCTACCAAACGAAGCTTATTTGAATGTAGGGAACTTATAAGCTAACCAAATAAGCTATAAGCTGACTTATTTGTTTACCAAACTAGTCATAAGCTATAAACTCAAAAATTACTGATAAACTATAAATTAGTATATCAGCTATTAGTTAACTTGTCAGTTAATTTTACCAAACATAGTCTATGCAAAATGTAAAATGCAATGTGTCAGATTTACCCCCACCCCCTCATCATCCAATCAAATGATGCCAAATCATTGTGACCTTCCCCTTTTTTCATACATATATATATATATAAACCAATAATAAAATATTGCTTTAGTAATAACAAACATACTCAAAGTTTTCTTCACCTCCCAAAAGAACCTAAACTTTTTTCTTGCTTCTTAAGCTCCATCCTCAAACATCACACACACACACACACAAAAAACACACACACTAATAGATATTCAATCGACACGTAAAAAATGGCTTCGGTTTGCATATCGAGCTGCGTGGACGACGCCCGGGCCCCGGTCCGAGCGACCTACACGAACCTCTACAAGTGGCCCGAGTCGGACTTCGAGTTCATCCGGTCAATGAGCTCCCGAGCCCGCGAGCCCGCCAGGTCCGAGCCCCACGCGCCACGTGTTTACGGGCATCCAAGGGTTGTCGACAGCATCTCGTGCCGCCAGCTGTACTTGAGGAGCTACACCTTCTCTAGGGAGGAGGATCACCGTCCTCAGCCGGCCCTTTGCCGGAGAGCCGCCGG